TCACGCCCTCAGTGCTACTAGATTCACCTATCCAATGCCCACAACAAAAATTGCAACAATTTTTACAAGGGTGACTGCAGACGATAAACCCGCACCTTCAGATTAGCAAAGCGGAGTTATAACGTCTGCATTTGCGGACTAGCACAATAGCTGCTGCACACTGACACATAAATATATACTATAGCAGGTAGGAAAGCGTGCTGCCAAAATTCGCTCGACGCTCGCTTGATTTCGATGCAAGTACAGGGCTATAGGCCGCGGCACACTGCATTTTGGGAAACTAACACGCTGCTTTCTAACTCCCGTACGAGCCTTGTCAAAGCCACCAGTGGAGCGTTGCAAAAAGCGGTGCAAAAATGAGATCACGAAGAGCGCCGGTGGGTGTTTCCTGATTCCGACAGCCATTTACATAAACTGCGCAACGGGAGCGAACGCGAGAATTTCGTCAGACTGTGTGATTTCGCTTGACACAGCTCGGTTACGAACACAGACAGTATGTTTTTATAACAAGTGAACACTGTTCTTCAAATAGAAACAAAGATGGAGTAGAATGGTTGAATATTTCGTATATATTCGTGTGAAATCGAGCGAGCGTTGAACGAATTTTGGCAGCACGCTTTCTTACCTGCTATATATTTGTGTGTCAGTATGCAGCAGCTAGGGTGCGGCAACCAGTGTGTGTTGCAGATGAGCATTTGCAGGAAATTGTCGGCAATAATAGGTGAAAGATAGTAGAGGAACATTAAGACTTTGCCTTTGGTAGTAAATAGATTTCATATTTATTTAGCATTATATTTTATTGAAATGCTCCAAGTGCCTGTGCTCATAACAGTCATTAGCCATGCAGACAGTAGCAGACTCAAGTCATACTAGACTAAAACTAAAAGAATGGTTTACGTTTAGATAGAAAGACAATGCGATTATCTAAATACACCAACCCTAGTAATATACCATTCATAATAATCCACACAACTGCCACTGCCAGTGGTAGTGCCAGTGGCACTGTGTCTGAGTCGGTGTGTGAACAGTGAAGTGCGCTGATTAAAAGTGATTTGTTTTGTTGCGGTATTATTGAGATAATTGATAATTAAAAATTACATGTAACATTACAAACAATATTTACGTAAAACAAATATGCAGATAGATTGTTTGCAATGTATGCATTGATACTCACCACTTAGGTGTTGGGATAGTAGATCCACCTTTGTACAGTAACTGAGTAAGCGTAGGGCATGCCTTTCATTACATCGGAAATGCATTTTGTTTCATACCTTGTTGCCAAAGTCTGTTCTAATGATATATGTTGATATTATTTAGATGACTGATGATGATTTTTTGTTTTGTAGGTAAGGAGGCCCGAAAAAAGGAACTGAAAAAGAACAAGAAACAGCGACAACTCGTACGAGCAGCCGTACTAAAGGGAAAAGATCCGCAGCAGTTGATAGTGGAGCTGGAAGCAATTGATCAAATGGGTGCGTTTTCCTATCTCTTTATGCTTATTTCATGTTATTCTGACGTGCAGCATTGCTGCAGATTGAAATTCAAAAAATACGAGTTTTAATTGGATTTTTTCCTACACTTTGATAGCAATTGATTTGATGTGGATGACAATTACGACCATTTACTGTAATGTTAAATATATCCATTTTTCTTTCCACCAGAATTCGATCCCAACAACCCTCCATCATTGAATGAAAAGGTTTTGAAGGACAAAAGGAAGAAACTCAAGGATACGTTCGACCGCGTCATGCGACTCTATGTTAGTAATTTTTACAAATGATTTCATGACTATTAAATACAACTTGCATAATGCCAAACTAGTTGTTGCTCACCTGTTTAGAATATGGCTGATATATTCGTGTGCTTGCAGGAAAAGGAAGATCCAGAGATGTATGTGATGATGAGAAAGTAAGTACCATCTTATATCGTCACAGTTATTACTGTAGACTGCTGCTTACCATAATTTGTTATTTAAGTGACCTTATGATAATTGGCACGTAAGCTAGCCAAACATTTCATAGTAAGTTCCAAGATGCAATCTTTTTATTGTGTTCTGTATTTAGTTGAAGTATTAAGAGCTTTAGTCGGATAGGAGTAATAGATATGGACTTATTAATTAAAAATAATGTGTGTGTTATCTATTCTGTTTGATAAGCTACAATACGTTATTTTCTGCTATGTCGGATTATATTATGTACACTTGGATAGGAATTAATCCTCTGTTGTTTATTATTCACCATAGGTGGGAAACGGACTACAACAAAAAGAGACAAGAACTGATGAACTACTTTGGTGAGTGCAAGAATCAAATTAGATCTCACATAACAGCAACATTATACTTGATAACTGACATTTAATTAAGCCAGGTATATCGGTATCTAAACGTTTAAGATAATTACTATGCCATGACTGAGGTAGCAATGGTGTAGATCTGTAGTGCATCACCGGACATGGTGGGACGAATGATACATTGGTAAATAAGTAAAGGTAATAGTAATACATACTAATAATACCCTGTTTTGCATACATGTTACAGATGCTGTCAAGCAAGCACAGAGAGTTCAATTAGAAGAAATTCCACTGCCCGATATGCCAGGCATGCCTATGGGTTAGTTTTACGTAATATTTTGGACTTTTTTTAAAATCAACAGTAACTCACAGTCACAGTGGTCACATGCAGTGATAATTTGCACTGTTTACTATCACTGATAATGAACAGTGTCATCCCCCTGCCACTATTTTATGCTAAGATGCGAGTTTCGTTAGTAAACCCTACTAGCACTGTAGCGCAACTAGTACCCAAGCAATTACTAGTCGTAGTAGCTATTTGAAAGGCAAGTGCCGTAAAGTGAGTCCATTTTTACACACTTTTTAAGTGACAAAGATTGCTGGTGGTGGTCCAGATTTTGTTGAAAAATTGTAGCAATTGTACTCGTTTTAGTACCAGCACAGATTCCTCTTCCACAAGACATACCATTGCCACATGGAATATTGAAAAGGTCACTGCCAGGGTGAGTAATAGATAGCAAATAATTAACATTTTGTAATAATTCCATAATTTATACATAAATTATAGAGCTATAGGAATTAGAAAGAAATTTACTCTTAGTGTCCAACGTGAAGTTGTGCTTATTTGTGGAAATCTAAAATGCTTTGCAGGGTAAAATTACAAGCAAATGATTTACTGTGATGTCATGCTAAGAGTATTCATAATAGTCTATGAATATTATTCAGTAATTGCACGATTAATCCATGTAATATATTTTAATTTGATATTTTTATAAATTTTTCAGTTAATGGGATCGTGCATTGTCAGAGGTGGTTCATTAAAAAACAAGAACAATCTCTTTTAGTTTTAGATCTTGCTGTGACTTAACATTGAAACGAATGACTGATCATTCTATCAGCTTGTTTCCTCACCTCAGCTGTTGGTTTTCCTTCTGCTTTAGATCCATACCTGGTCCTCCCTCGGGACCGGTCCCACGACACGTTATAGAGAAGGCGAAGAAGAGATCGCCACCGGGGCCTCCCCCTGGCCAGCCTCCTGAACTCAGCGACTACTCCAGCGACGAGGAGATGGAGGATGATGATGAAGAGGAGGAGGATGAAGAAGAGGAGTACAACCCTGCTGAAGGTACTGTCTGCTATACTGACCTGAAAGTGTTGTCTGTTTCACAGTAAGGGCAATCATGTATCTAATGTTGTTCAGTGATAAAGTGCAGGTGTGCGGGCATATGTGTGTGTGTGTTTGGGGAGGGGACTGTTTCTGGGTATGCATGTCAATGCATGTGAGTGCTCATATATAGGTAGCGGTTTTCACCATCACGTAACTACTGCTTACAGAGTTTGAGAGGCTACTAGAGGAAAGGAAGCAGGCCTCAGCAATACTACAGCGACAACAGGAGGAGATGGGAGATCTGATGGAGACGGACACAGAGCGGACAGCAGGGGGTGAGCGAACTCTCATGACACATCATGTCACACGCTGCCTCGCAGATGAAATGTGTAGCATGTCCTGTACATTCATTTCCTAGCATATCCTGTATTGGGTCATAAAGTTAAATGCATGAAAAAGACGAGGAATACAAAGGGGGGAAATACATTAATGAGAGAGGAGCGAGACTCAAAAGGAGAAATACATTCACAGAAGACAAGAGTGACTCAAAATGGGAAAATGTTATTGGAAAGGGGATCGAGACTTTAAGAGGAAAACACGTGTGAAATAGAAGAGACTCGCTGGGTTCCTGTGCTTTATCTTTGTGGTTAAGCATATATAGTGTATGTAGTCTCAGTAGTTTATCTAATGTTCACCCGTTTACCTCGTGTGCCCCTGTAGCTTTGTTACAAGTACTGAACACTGCTGAAGTCACAGCCACGCTCCTTTCCTTGCCCAGCCTATACAGCAACATGATACAAACTACATAGAAACAAGTAACAATGTATTGCAGAGCTTTATACACAGCATTTATTCTTACTGCAAGCACCTAGCCTGGTAGAGTAGTGTGAGGGTCTACCATTGATTTTCCATACGCATGCATGCATACACGCATGCACACAGGAGTGCAAGCCTGCACCTCCATGTTGCTGTTCAATCTTTTATTTGAACACCAACATTACTTGAACACCAACATGCTTGCCCTCCATGCCACTATGTGAGTGCCACATATGCAGGAGTACATGTAAATGAGAGAGGGACTGAAATATCACTTCAACAGTTTTGCAAGACACTGCAATAGCCAAAAGAACATGACAGGACTGCCAAGGTCAAAAACTAGTTGTTTATTTAACAAAGGTAGCACCGGCTGTGCACTGGAAGTAACTTCAGTGGATCTACGCACTATATTACAAGCCTACTACTCTTGTTTTCATATAAAAAAATACTTCAGGCAGTATGATTTATTAAGCAGTGAGACGTATCAGTAGATGTTGCGCATGATGGAACTTAGGCGCTTACTCCAGTTTGGTCAGTTTATTTCTCCAGATCTGAAATAAGAAACCCAGCAGTTGTCATTTCAAGTAACAAATGCAGCGAGTAAACATATTTATACCAAAACAAATTCGAGGGCCAATGGAAAGTCTATATGAGTGGTGCTGTCCATACGAAGCACACGGTTAATTGATCGGTGAATTGCCACACACACGCAATGACCAATACGTCTAAGCAAGTTAACCAGGCGTCAGTAAATGTTTTTGCTAGGCCTGTCAAGCTAGAGCTGGTTGTGTGTGTACACAGAACGACGATCTAGCGGCATGACTTCACTAAACATTGTTTTTTATAACAACCTAACAAAATTCTGAATAGCTAGAGCTGACGGATAGGTGAAACGCACTTCACACCCACAACATGACGAGATGTCATCTTAACGAAGCAGCCTTGCCTTCATCACGTGATGATGACGCTGTTTAGTGTAACAGCGTTTCTGTTAGAACTCCGTTTACCCGGGTGCACATCCTGAGGTCGGTGGGCGGCGGCGTTGCCGTGGTAACCCCCCTCACGTGGCTACGCGCGGCGATACGTACACACGAAGATGCCAATGGTTCCTCCGATGAGCCCAACGATTGCGAGATAGACGCCGAGCACCGCCCAGCACATGTAGCCCTCTGGTGGTGTACGTGGCACCACCTGGCTGCAGCCCTGTGCCGACGCCGTGCCCGTGGCGCCATCTGCAGTGTAGATGCCACTGTCGAAGTTTGGGCAGTGTCGAAACTGAAAGCGGGCGTCATACGAAATCAGTTGTTGGCTACTGCATGAGTGTATGTGTGAGTGGGGGGGGGGGGAGTCTGATTAGGTGATAGTTGGTGGGATGGGGCAAAAATCTTTCCCATTTACTAAACTTTGAATGTAATTGTATGAATGAAGGAGATAAGAACATGTAGAATACTCGATAGAAACCGTAGGGGAAATAACTCTGTGGGAAAGACCCGTAACGAATACTACTAGTACTACTAGAAGTAATTTATAATGAATTTTTCTTTTAGGTGGTACACTTCACTCACTACTCATCCTTCTGCACTCACCTGTTCCTTTCCACTTACCAATCCCTGTCCACTGACCTGTCCCTCTTACTTGTCCCTTCACTCACCTGTCGCTCTTCACTCACCTGTCCCCCTTCACTCACCTGTCCCTTCACTCACCGAGGGACAGGTGAGTGAAGGGGACAGGTGAGTGAAGGAGGGACAGGTGAGTGAAGGGGGACAGGTGAGTGAAGGGGGACAACACACAGACGCACGCACGCATGCACAGACACACATGTACACACACGAGTGCACCTACACACACGCACGCACGCACGCACGCACAGACACACATGTACACACACGAGTGCACCTACACACACATGCACGCACGCACGCACGCACGCACGCACGCACGCACACATATATATATATATATATATATAATACCGCAATTGTATTAGATTGGAAAGGGTTTGGCTGTAAGACGGACGCATTGTATGCTGATTACGGGCCGTAGAGCATGACGCAACCAATATTTGTAGACGGCAGAGTCTGCGTGAGGGTGGGGGCAACCAGTTCTCCCTGCGCACTGAAGACTCCTGCATGTCTGTCAAACGCTCTTACTCAGACTACAACCAACGATGAGTGAGCACGATGTAAAAAGAACAGATGGAGAGATCAGTGGAGAAGGAAAGGTGAGTGGAGGAGGACAGGTGAGTGGAGAGGGACAGGTGAGTGAAGGGGGACAGGTGAGTGAAGGGGGACAGGTGAGGTGAGTAGGTGCACTCGCGTGTGTACACGTGTGTCTGTGCGTGCGTGCTTGTGCGTCTGGGAGGGAGAGAGAGCGTGTGCTAGCACTGCCTGCACATACACCACCGTTGCTACTACCAGGCAAGGTTAGCTCATGAAATTGGTCTAGATAAAACGTGCGCGAGTACTGATCACACATGATGTGAATATGTGGAGGTTTTGTTAGGCTGACGTTAAATGTGCAGGCAAGGTTGTATATTTTATCCCACTGATAGGGTGAAACAGTGATGTCAGTCAGTGTTTGCATACTGGCTAATTTAAAGCTTGTAAAATATCAAGCCTTGAAACTGTTTGATATTGCAGTGCTTTTAGCTCATCTTGTAGAAGCTTGTACAGCTTGTAGAATCGCATGATCGTTCGTGCGTGCGTCCGTCAACAGTTGGGCACAAATCTAAACGGCTCGCCGTACGGATTCGAAAGTCGGGACGTGGGGGGGGGGTAATCCGAAAACGAGTTGGGTTGTCGAAGCTGGGGTGCCATGCTGCCCAATTACCTTTGCACCTCTCCAATGCATCCCCACGTGACCTCAATTTCGACACCAGTGATGGCTTTTCCTACCATGATGCTATACACCGACTATCACGAGCCTAGTCGAGCCGTTTAGATTTTGCCCGCAATTCTGCATTCCTCCCTATACCTTAAGCTTAAGGAGGGACATCTTCCCCCGTCTTTTACACCTCTTGACCTTTGACCTTTGACCCCCAGCTTACGACATCCCCAACTCGTTTTCGGATTACCCTCGAGTACCTCGTGCACGTGTTTTATATCTAGACCAATTTCATGAGCTAACCACTTGCTTAGTAAGTACAGCAACGGTGGCTGTAATGTGCAGCAGTGCTAGCACACGCTCTCTCCCCTCCCAGAACGCACAAGCACGCACGCCACAGACAACACGTGTACACACCGCGAGTGCACCATACACACACAGACGCACGCACGCATGCACAGACACACGTGTACACACCGCAGAAGGCCACCTACACACACAGACGCACGCACCACGCATGCCAACAGCACACACGTTGTACACACGCGAGTGCACCTACACGACACAGACGCACGCACGCACGCCATGCCACAGACACACGTGACACAAGCGCAGTGCCACCTCACACACACAGACGCCACCGCACGCATGCACAAGACACACGTGTACACACGCGAGTGCACCTACACACCACAGACGGCACGCACGCTATGCAACGACACACGTGCACACACGCGGAGTGCACCTACACACAGACGCACGCACGCACGCGATGCCACAGACACACTGTACACACGCGAGTGCACCTACACACATAGACGCACGCACGCCACGCACAGACACACACGTACACACAGCGAGCTTGCACCTACACACAGCAGACGCACGCACGCCACGCACAGACACACACGTTACACACGAGCTCACCTACACACACAGACGCCGCACGCACGCATGCACAGACACAACGATGTACACACGCGAGGTGCACCTACACACATTAGACGCCACGCACGCATGGCACAGACACACGTGCACACACGCGAGTGCACCTACACACACAGCGCACGGCACGGCATTGCCACAGACACACGTCACACACTGCGACGTGCACCATACACCACACAGACGCCACGCACGCAGGCCACAGAACACACGTGTACACACGTGAGTGCAACCTACACACACAGACGCACGCACGCATGACACAGACACACGTGTACACACGCGACGTGCACGCTACACACACAGACGCACGCACGCATGCCACAGACACACGTGCACACACGCGGAGCTGCACCTACACACACAGACGCACGCACGCATGCACGACACAGGTGTACACACGCGAGTGCACCTACACACACAGACGCACGCACGCATGCACAGACACACGTGCCACACACGCGAGCCTGCACCTACACACACAGACGCACGCACGCATGCACAACACACGTGCAGCACACGCGAGCTGCACCTACACACACGACGCACGGCAGCGCACGCATGCACAGACACACGTGTTTACACACGCGAGTGAACCATACACACAGAGACGCCACGCACGCACGCACGCACAGACACATCACAGTACGCACGCGAGTGCACCTTACACACACACGCACGCACGCACGCATAGCACGACACACATGCTACACACAGCGAGTGCACCTACCACACACGCCACGCACGCACG